TTGAGGTTTTTCATTATTTGAGTACAAAGTCACTATTTTGAGAAAGTATTTGAAAAATAATGAGAAACTTTCTCAAAATAATGACTTACTTCCAAAATAATGAGAAACTAAGTCATAATTTTGAGATACGAACTTATTATGTCAAGAAATTACCTCATTATAATGACTCACAGGATTTTTTTTGTCATTAAACTGGCGTGTATGGGCTTCCATATGTTTGACTCTCTGTCCCTCCTTATGATACTAAATGTGAAGCTTTTAACTATTTATCCACAGACTAATTAGAGTTAGTTTTGCTGGAGGACAGTTCGTGACAGAGATGGATACTCCCTGCCTCTCTAACCTCTCGCCTCCTGCAGCAGCCAGTGTCAATTAGCCCGTCCTGCATCTTAACTGACTGAAGCTGCTTCCATGTCACCGTAATCCAGCGAACATGAAACACCAGATGTGTCGTTTGACACTTTTGAATATGTTGTTTGCCTTTGTTTCCATGTTTTACTCCCAGTGCTGGGAATGATTTGAGAGGACAGACATGCACAACAGATACAGCACCTTGAACATCAAAGGCCCGCGCTGCAGTATTAGCTACCATGTGTGTGTGTGTGTCTGTGTTTCTGCTGTAACTCTGCACACGCTCACACACACACACACACACTTGGGTAGCTGCTGTGAGTTTGCGTGCACGTCGGTGTGCCTGCCATAGGAAAGCATCCGAGACAGCCCAGAATATAAAAATTTACAGGCCTTTTTCCTGCTTTGTCTGTCTTCTTTCCCATTCTCTTAGGTGAGCGGGGCCTGAGTGATAGAGCCAGAACCTTTCATCTCACCCAGTGAGTGTAAATAGCTGTCATGTTTGATTGACGGTCTGACGTGCACATGTGATGCCCTGGAAGAGGGGAAGAGATTCAATGAGAACACAGTACATGATGGCTCTCCTGTCTTCAAACCAAAGATGTAATGAATGAGTAATTACACGAAAACCAACAGTGTTCTCCGTCGCCTCCTCGGATCCGATTTCTACGACTTAATGCAGAAAAATTTGCATAAATTCCATAACAGCTTATACTGTACAAGATTAGATCCACATAATTGGCTTTAAATGTTATCATAGTAATACAAATCTTAGCATTTCATACGTACTAAACAGAATAATTTCAAAAACTAGTGCGTTTAACAGAAAATCTTTACTTTTACCATCACCCAATCTCTTCTCAGTTTGGCTCTGCTCAGCTCTTGTTTGCCTGTGCTCCACACGCTCCACAGGCTAACAAAGACATCATGAATCAGGTCTTTTCTTTCTTTAATCACATATGTCTTCTGTATCTGGCCCAACAATGACAAAAACGTTGTTTCGTTCGCATCCTTAATGGTATGTTAGAGTTTGTCTTTTCATGGAAAAGGATAAAATGTTGATGACTCATCCTGCACTCAGAGGCGTACACTAATTTTGCATCCAATTAAACACTTTATCAAATTCTTATGTCCCTCCCCCATGACTGTACATTCTGCTAGTTACCGACCAGCTCACAGAGCTAGCTTGCAGCTACGGATCTTTGCTGGGTTGCTGGTTTTGCTAACTCCCGGGGTTACTGCTTATAACTAGGGGCAGGGGAAAGACCAAAACAAAAAACAAACATGAAACTCTATTAGGAGCTGTGCCTTGTCAAAATAAATCCAAACCTATATGACTGGACCATGTGGGAATTTAATTTGAAAGGACAGACACAGGAAGTGGCCACGCTCAGCACTCAGGAGTCAGGTTAATTTCCAGGGCTGGTACCTGCGGTTATTCCACAGGCTAGTCAATAACATGTCGGGCAGGAAATCCAAAGTACCCAAACCATTGTGTTACCCTGCCCAAAATATACCATTTAATAATTAAATAAATGTCATAAACATGCGGGTGACTAGCCGACTTATGACCCTAAATGACGACTATTCGTCGACTAGGAAAATTCTTAGTCAGAGGCAGCCCTAGGCCATATTGTATCGATACACGGATTGTTCAGCCCTAGTCTCTATATACAGACTCTATATTCAGTGAATGTAGAGTCTGTGGGCAAACCCCGGAGATCTTGTCTCCGGAAGAAGAGTGGAAGAGCCCTGGTTTCCGGTTGTAGGCTGTTTGTAGTCCGCGTGATATTGACCAATCACGTTTGAACCGGCTGCAGTTGTTGCCAGGTTAAACGGTCCATGCGGTGAACTAACGAGGCGGAACATAACATAATTGGTATCACTGCAAACTCTTAATCCATCGCAATGGTTCAGCATATTTACTTATATATAAACTATCTGCTGGAAGTCAGATGCCGAATACAGCCGATAGGTTCCGAGAATGGTTCAGCCCTAATGCTGATTACCAAATGTTTGCATGCCAACATGCTAAGCTAACATGATAAGCATGGTAAACATTACCTGCTACACATGTTAACATTGTCACTTGTAAGAATTGCTGACATTAGCATTTAGCTCAGTACAGTATCATACACATGTATCAGGCATCACAGCGCTACTAGCATGGCTGTAGACTCCATGTGAGTCTTGTTTATACAAAGTCCGCCAGTTTTTGAAGAACAGAAAGTTACTGCACAGCATAACATAGACTTAAGTAAAGTAATCATAGTTAATATTTGATTAGAAGTCCTTTCCTGAAGGCTGCAGTACATACACCAGCAGAGACTTGGTATCTTCACACATGGCAAGCCAAGAAAATTGCCCCCCTTTGGCCCTTTGTTGCCTTGTCTGTGTAGTGAACTTTACTGTCCTGCTGAACTTTACTGTCCTGCTGTGCTAAAATCAGAGGTCCGACTCACCTAATATGGACACGAACTCCTTCAAACACACTTTATAGTCCTTGTTTTGTCCAGCTGGCTTGAGTGTGACACCAACAAAACAACATGCTGCTGTCCAATTTCCTGCTTTATAGACTGCACTCTGTATCTTTTTGATTTTAAAGACTTAATGTATTGTTTTAGTATACATTATGCAATGAGCATTGTGATGGCTGTGTGGCTTGACATATTTCTTTGTTTGGCCTCAGAATGGTAATTCTGATGCATTTTACAATGGGCTTTTGCTTTGATTTAACACACAAAAAAGCACTTCGCTCTCATCTGCACTCCAATGGGCTGGAACTGGCGAGAAGGAAACAGTTTAACTAAAGAGAATATATGCATCAAATGAAAAGCAGATGAAAAAATATGCAATTATGTTCCTGATTGGGTTAAGTATTTCTCTGCCAGCACATGCCAGCTACCACTAGAACCTGTCCCAAATGGGCGGCTTCCAGTGCTGGGCAAGGCCCCAGAAAACGTCACATCAGAACGGTGCCATCTCCCGCTACATCTCAGTTTCCTCAGATCCACAGCCAGTCCGTCCCCCTCATTCCCCTCTCCTCTTTGCTACGTTCAGCCCCTCTCTGCGTCCCAGATAATGGAGCTCAGCTTCTGTCTGCCAAAGGGTCTGTGGCTGCCCGGGAGTAATGACCTGAGGGGGTACTTTGTGACAACCAGGGTATAATAATGCCTCCAGCCATGGACAAAGTAGACCCTTGGGGTCAATTTTTAAATACTTTTATGTTTTTCACCAAGGGTAAGAGTCATTTGTTTTTATTGCAGGCCATATACTACATATACACAGCAGAAACAACACATTTATTCCAAACAACAAGGGATACAAAGTGTGGTTAATATTGTTTATTTCAACAAAATGCAGTTAAGTTTTGATAGAGCCACGCCAGTGCTGACCTATCGCTTTTGATGAAACGTGTTCCACTTTTCAACAGAATTTATCCAGCAAATGTCTGTAGGCTGTAGTCCCTCAGATCAAAATAGTGTTATTGAGGCACGCAAGGGAGCGTGGAATCACCTGCGAATGAAAGGCTTCTCCTAATAGGTTAATTGTAACAAAAGCACAGGGGCTTGCCCCATTGAACAGAAGAGGATTGTGGAACACAGGCCTGTGGAAATGATGTCAAGCAATGTGCTGCCTGCTCTCCCCTGCAGGGCCAGAGTTTGTCTGTCAGCAGTTAAATGCTTACCTCCTACCCCTCCCCTAACACTCAACAATCAATTTACCTCCTCGGGGTCTATGAACCCAAAGATTTGACCTTACAGACTCGAGCTTTGTTTCCCCCCTCATCTCTCACACCTCAAAGAGTACTTATTAGAACACAGGCGAAAGGTATTTTAAAGTCGCTTTTTGTACACATAGAGGAGATATGGTCAAATGTTTCTGGGGCCAAAACCAAAATAATTAATTTGCTGAATGAAATCGAAATTTCCACACAGATTGATTGTTAAGAAACAAAACATACACCGACGGAGCTGTTCTAATTTTATTTAAGTGGCTAGTAAAATTCTGATGTAATATGCTGTTTTGTTTCAGTGAATATGAGCAGGTGGTTAAAGGAATATTTTGATACACTGGAACACCGGCCTCCCTGGTGAAAGTCGGTGGTTCCCACCCGCCCTACTCGCACTATAGTCGCCTTAACTTTTATTGTTGTCCTGCAGCATTTCCCCCCGACACTGCTGGGCGTCGTTAAACAATAAAAGCGACTGGCTGCATGTCATGCCGATGTGAAAGGACAGTTTTTTCGTCTGTGTCTAACGTCACTGACCTGGTTTTCCATAACTTCAGACTGGGTTGAACAATTAGTCACTGTCTCTCTCTGCTGTTGTTGGCCGGCTTTTTACTAATGTTAGTCCTGTAACGTTATCCCCACTGCCGCAGTCGCCATCTTCCTCAGCTCAGCCGCCTGTTCTACCAGTAGTGGCTGACCTCATGTGGCGTTTTCCGTGCACTACATCACTTCAATACAGCATCTCTGTATCAGTTCAAAAGAAAAAGGAGAGTCTGTGTCTTTTTGACAGTATTGAAAATCATACTGTCAAGATTTCTAAATACCCTGGGGCACCGTAATACTGTAATACTTCAATAAGTACCAGTAAAAGTAGTGAAAGTATCAAATCACAATATACACACTTTTCTTTTGGCAGGTTGTGCTGGACAGTTGAAACCATTCATGAAAGACATCAGTACTGAGTCCTGCTCCACAGCCTACTAACCAGGTATGTGCACGATAATCATACTGTGATTGGAAAAACAAAGACTGTTTTGTAGGTAATGATCTTGTAATCAGACATGAATGCATCTTCCTGACAAAAAATATATCAAAACAGAAGAGCAGCTTTTAGCACCTGTATATTTTACTGTTGATTTACTTTTATGTTGATGGGTACACAGCCCGGGGATGTCTCTGTGTCAATCAGAGACTTCAAATCCCGAGATTTATTCAGTCCCCCTCCCATTTGTACAGTAACCAATGGTGAGAGTGCACACCCAGCAAGGGTCTAACTAATTGGGCATACTGGGAATAAAAAAAACAGAAAAAGCAGCACCTTTTTCCTCTTATGTGATATTTATTGAAACTGTTGATGGTTCAGCACAAAGCCTTTGTCAGGGTGCGTGAGGAGAGCTTTGTAGTGAAGCCTCACTTGTTTTTAAAGATTATCTTTATGGTGTTTCAGTTTATAGCAAAGAGGAGGACAGGAAATGGCATGAGAGAGGGGGAATGATATGTTACAGGACCACAGTACAGACCAGCGCTCCAAATCACTTCACTTCACATACTAGTCCAAGAAACTGATTTGGGATAAATGTCATTTTTCTATCTTATCAGCTATTGAAGGGATTATCATGACATTTTGTACAGACATTCATGATCCCCAGGGGATACATTTGAAGGATTTTGACGACCTGCTGACTCTTCCTCTAGCACCACCAGCAGGTCAAAGTTTTCAGTTCAGTCTATTAGGTGGATTGCTGTGAAGTTTTGTACAAACAAGGCCAAGGTCCCTGCATGATAACTTTTTATAATCATGTGATTTTTCTGTATGGTTTGTCCAATATTTTGGTTCAAGGCCAAATACTATCAGCTGCACTTTGTGTTTGTGCTGCGTTCCATTTAACTCGAAAGTCGGAGGTTGAAGCTGGGAATGACGTCAATACCAATGCAAACACCGTAGCAACATGTCCACCAATAAAAGTTGGACAGGCCTGTGTATACATCTCTTTAAAGGAGACACAGATAACCCGGAAGTGCTTATAAACAGTATATTATTACAGCTTTTACTGCTGTTGATGCGCAGAGCAGCCATATTGGATTTTGAGGTTGGGGTTGGATGGGTTTCTTCCAATTTCCAAGTCGTAAATTTGACTTCAGGGGGTGTTCCAGTTGAAATTTCTGACTGACCAATAGTGAACATCACACATGCAGCATCAAGCATGTTAGCATTGTGATAATGTTAGCGTGCAGATATTAGCATTTAGCTCAAAGCACTATTGTGCTGAAGTACAGCCTCATAGAGCTGCCAGCATGGCTGTAGACTCTTAAGGGCCATCCACACATTCTAACTAAAGTGGATGGTGGAGTCCACACCTCAGATTTAACAACAGTGTCAGTGCCAAACAATATTGTTAGCCTCACTTTCAGAGGGATTTGATGAATAATAGAAACATTGACAGCCAAGGTGCAAACTTAACTTTTTGTCCACCGGCCAAATGGCTAGTGAATCTTCAGATTTTACCAGACACTCAGTAGATTACCATTATTTTTTGGCTGCTGAGGGAAACAAGTCTTCCAGCCAATTGCCAGCCAGTTGACAGCCAGTGAAAATCCATCTGAATTTATCAGTTGGCGCATGCTTGACGCCACCATTTACAGAATGTTATTGATCATCAGTGTGGATGATCACGTTAATATAGTTATAGTTATCGTTCTTGATGTGGACAGCCCATAAGTCTTGTTCTCTCAGTCAGTTCTATTAGTCATGACTTTGAAAAAGAGGAATTCAAAACGGCGAATGCAGAAAAACCACTGAGAGACTTCAGCTCATTCAAAACTCTGCTGCTCGGTTATTAACCAGAGGCAAGAGGAGAGAGCACATCAGTCTAGTTTTAGCTTCTCTGCACTGGCTTCCTATAACTTTAAGGGTGCTTTCACACCTGCGCTGTTTAGTTCGGTGTGATCAAACTCAAGTTTGTTTGCCCCCTAAGTGCGCTTCTTTTGGTTTGGTTTTCTTTTCAGTGAGAACGTGTTCCGACCTGGATCTGAACCAGCTGCAGTCACATGACACATTGTTTGGGTTAAACATGAGCATGTTACAGTCCTGGAGGATTATTAATGTGCACCTCCTCCTGTACTGCCTTAATATGCACATTCAGCACATCCAATGCATCAAAACATTGTTTTCTAGTTGGAGCCGCGCCTTGTTTTCAAACTGTATGGTTTGACTAAAATGAACAATGACAGCAATATAGTCCACGATGAGCAGCGCTAAAATCAACCCAAGTAGCTGTCCCTCCATTGTGACATTAGAAAGTGTCACATTTATCTTGCAAGTGTACTCTTCTTCAACGTTTTGTTTACTTGATTTTTGGGAATTCTGTCCAATCAAGGGTAGCTTTCTAACGCAAGGTATTTTATCTGGTCCGCATGTAAATGCTGCCGTGAGAACATGAACCAACTCTAGGAAATTATACAACTTTATAACAAAATTAGTCCCTGATTTGGACCAAAGCAAGACAACTCTAGGTCTGAAAGCACCCATAGAATTGATTTTAAGCTCCTCCTCCTTGTATACAAAGCCCTAAATGGGCGAGGGTCAAGCTACCTTGCTAATTCCCTTTTTAGCTATTTGCCTTCAAAAACACTGCGATCAGCTGGTTTATCATGCATTCCCAGCAACAGCCGAAAGAAAGTTGTGAATGCAGCCTTTTTCACTTATGCCCCAAAGCTATGGAACAAAGTACTTATAGATATAAGAGGAGCCAGTTCACTCAAAATGTTTAAAAGAAAGCTAAAAATGTATCTGTTCACTTCAGCCTTTAGCTAGGACTTTCCAAATACAGACCTGAAACTCTCTCTTCTTACACTTCACACTGCTGTAATTCTTTTAAAATGTTGTGTTTTACTTGATCTTATGATGAATTTATAATTTTAAAATGTATGGTTTTGCTTATATGCAATAATGCACATAGCAGCTGTGACATCACATAAAAACAATGGAAAGCAAAGTTTCTTTGCATTGCATCATTATTGAAATGATTTTACTGGTGAGCCAATCAGTATTGAAAAAACTATATGGCCTACATTTTTTTCTCCTGTGTTCCTGTAATTGAGGTGTTGCCATTAGCCTTTGTCTGACTTATAGAGGGATGATAAACGACGACTTTCACTGTACAAGTGGCTGTGTAATAGCACAGGGTTTCAGTCTAAAGCAGAAGCTTTTGACATTGTTCTCTGGCATGTGTGTCGAGGCTCGGCTTGTTTTTTCACCACTGCGTTAACCATTAAGAGAACACCATATAGTTTGTGTTGGTGGAGTTTTCATTTGCTGAGGGGAAGACAGAGTGGTTGAGGATGTATACACGTGGGGGAAGAGCTGCAGTAACAGAACTCAGCTGGAGTAGGTTACTTGAGGGATTGCTTCAGGAGCGGGAACAGAGCCAAAAGAGCGAGGAAACATACTTCACTTTATTGATTTTGTCGATCGTCTTAAATGAGGGGCACTCCAGGCCAAAGGCTCACCTCTGCATTTTCTCTCTGTGTGCCTGTGCTGCTTGGTGGACCACAAGCTGTAGTTACAGGAGCTGGGAGACAGGAATTATGTACAGTATGTGTTTATGTTCATGTGTGGGGAAGGTGTATGTGTGTGTGAGAGCCTGTTTTAGTGAAGTTCTAACTCAAGTTTATGGTTCTGGAAAGTGTTGGATATCAACCTTCAGTGGGCTGTCTGTGAGGTGCACCGCCTCTAGTGTCTGCGGCATAAATAAGCCTATTGTTTGGATCACATGCATCATCTTGAAGTCCAGAAATGAGCTAGTGTGTCCATGAAACGCACCTACACTGCCCCCATCGCGGATCATGACCTTTTGCTTTCCACCAGAGATACACTCTACTATTGTGACTTATTCATCAACTGTGTCTTGGTTATGAATGGCTTCTCAAGGCAAATATTGATTAAGTCAAGTGTAACATCACTTGGCTTAAAGCAAATGTCCATAAGCAATTACGACTCGTAGTCTCATAGTATTTTCCATTTTTGCTTTGGCTGACATACTCATTTGTTTTATATTCCCATATGTCCTGTCAGCTGGGACAGGATTTCTTTTTGTACAGTTAGTGTCGATAGATATTCAATAACCACTACCCTGAAGTTTTTACCTCTGGCCCTAAAGACATGAACACAACACTTGAGTCATTTTATTGTGTTTTGGCTAAACTCCAGACCATGGAAATAATTTTATTTCTTTACTCCAGACCAGACTTTTCAAAATACTTTAGTTGAACAACAAGAACCACTGCATATCTAATTTTAGATTTTAATACCAAAATGCTATATATTGTGATATAGCACATTTCCTTAATATTCAAGAAAAAAAGCAACATAAAATAAGCACATGAGAATGCTTTTGGCCTGTCCAGAGAATGACGGGTAACTGTTTTTAATTATTGTATCTTCACTTGGATGTTTGAGACTAGAAGTGTCTTTGCTCACTTTAAATCTCAGTTACATACTGGACATACCAGCAGGATTCTGTGACGTTACAAAGAGTTTTCAAGTAGTTAATCATGCGCCAATATGCAGCTTACTTACAGAACTGTGAGGTGGAAACTTAACATCTCCAGTCAAATGTACAATATTTGCACATTCATATTTTTGGACATTTCACTGAGGAAGAAGGCGTTTTTAAGAAGGTTTTTGTTCAAAAACAAAAAAACAAAAGGGGATGTTAAATGAAACTTTTTTAAATAAAAAAAAATTAATTAAAAAACAAAACAAAACAAAAAACAAAGGTATTTCTATATGCCTATATGTCACATTAAGACAAAAATCCTTTCACTTCAACACTGCCATAAAAGTAGAGCCTGACCGATACTGATACCGATATTAGGGAGTAAAAAAAAAATTCTGATATTGATATATTGGCTGATAATACACATACAATAAATGTATGTAAAGAAAAACATACAAACATTTTTTTGTAATGAAACACTTGCAATGAA